TCACACACACACACTCACACACACACACTCTCTCTCACTCTCGTGCGCTCAGCTCGCCACCGGAGGAGCAGGTAAATTCACTCAGCTCCTCGCGGGGCCCCCGTGCGCCTATCATCGCCTCTGTCTCCCTCTCTCTCTCCCCTTTCCTCCCGTCAAACTCTCCCCTTTTCATCCTCCCTGCTGACTCAGGTAGAGAGAGCACAATGAGGACCTTAGCGACAAGAAAGGAAAGCCATTCAACCGGATAGAGAGAGAGAAAGAGAAAGAGAGAGAGAAATGTTATATTTGAATGGCTGATAAAGAAATGAAAAAGGTGGGAACAAAGTCTAAAGCTTTAGGATGGAGGAGGAGGAGGAGGAGGGGGTCCGAGGCTGCAAGGTGACTGCAGGCCCTTTAATAACACAACTATATTAACTCGCTTAACCACGGAGATTCAGGATGAACCCAACTTCACTTTAGGGGCCTCACAAACCATGAAATGCACATCAAAACATACACCTGCCAATCCCTCCACCTATATCCCTCCATCTCCTCTCCCTCTCTCCCTCCCCCACTGTCTCCCCCTCTCTCTCTCTCTGCTCTGAGCTGTCTGTCATGGTGTGGCCCGGCTAATTTGAGTTCATTGGATGGCAATAACTTCATTTAGAGCTTCATCTCTTTTTGGGTGGATGTAATGAGGATGCAGGGTGCTGCTGGTGAAAGGCCGCTCCCTCAGTAATAATAACTTGGAGCTTATTCTTACCCCACGCACCGACCGTGTTTATCCTCGGAGGGCTGCGTCCACATGATGAAACTCATCTATAATGTGTGATTTAATATCGCCGTGAAGTTTTTTTTTCTCTTTTCTTTTTTTTTTAACCCAAAAGAGAGAGAAGACGGGGGCTGTAGTCAGGTTCAGTTCAGTTTTACACTGTAAAAAACTCTTGTTTCAATACGGTTTTCACTTTTTTTTAGAAAGTGTTTGTCTTTAAAGGTTTAAAAATCAATCTGTGATTATTTTTGAAACAATATTTTTTAGAGAAAAGTGAGAAAAAAAACGCATTTTTTCCTCATGTATTTGTCTTATTTTGAATTGATAAATAACATTTAAACTAAACAGATTTTCTCCACAGATGGTAATAAGATCAAACATGTTTTTCCAGGTGTAACAACTTAATTATGTTTTAAAATATCTGTCCTGAGACAGAGAGCATTGGTTTTCATTTTTCAAAGAGCTGCTTTTTTTGCAGTGTAGGTAGAGGCCTTTTCTCTCTCACCACAAACTAATCGATATCTCACAACTCCGGTGTGATATTGATTCGAGGACTTTAAGGATTCCTGAAAACACCTCATTATTTCGTTGATTTAAGAGTGAGAAAATATTATTTCTCACACAGACGACCTTTTATCGATGTATTAAAATGAAACTATCATCCATGATGAACAAATGCAGAACGACTTCAGGATCTGTTGTTAGAGAATCCACTGAGGAGGACTTCTTTTTTTCCTTTCTTTCTGTCCTTTTTTTCTATTAGACTCTTCCTTTCTTTGTGTTTCTGGACGATTAGACACTTTCAGATAATTCCTCCACTTTTCTTCCTGATAAAAAAAATTAAAAAAGAAAAATGAAACGGTAAATTCCTGTAAAATTCGTTAAAATACGGTTATATATGGTTTTTTTTAGTTGCTTATTTGTATAAACAGGCTTATTAAAATGAACAAATCGTTTTATTAAAAAATGATTAAGTTGAATTAAAATCAAACATTTCTGTTGGATTAACAGGTTATTTGTGAGGCTCTAAAATTATCAAATCTGCTCTCTTTTTCGTTTTTTTAATGCAATGAATACAATTATTTTACTTATACAACTTATTTAAATAATGTACAATTAGACATTAAATCAAAATATATTCAGTTTAATGTGCATTTATAATATTAGATTAGTGCTGTCCCATTGTTAGGTCTTTATGAGCAGAAACAAAGCAAAAAAAAAAAAAAGGTTTCAATTTTCTGACTTTGTTGCAACTTTCAAAACACAATAAATGTATTTCAACCAATTGGTAAAAAAAAAAAAAGATCATAAAGGTTTTAGGCAATTTAGAGAAAAAGCAGTAAAAAAAATAAGAGGGAAAAGAAACTTTAGAGGCAGAGGTAAGCGGAACATTTAAGCTTCCTTCATCTTTTTTTTTCTTTTATGCAGAATTATTAAAATACAGGAAATAACTCATCACAATAAAAGTTTTTTTTCCTCCTCCTTGAGGGCTTAGTGAGCTTTTCTGAACAACACATACACAGATACACACACACACACAAAGACGTGCGTCATTAAAATTGGCATTTGTCAAACTGATATTTGGAATTTGACAAATGACTGAGTGTTAAAACACACACACACACACACACACACACACACACACACACACCCTGAACACAGACACACACACACTTATTATTGGTGTTAAGTTTTCAGATATCCAGTCAGATTTTACAGCCTGAGAAAGGCCCGGATCACAGGCCTAACAGAGCCCCTTCATCCTCTGTGCCATTCATCAACTCTAAATGACCAATTTTCCCCACTCAGTCTTCGGTGGCCTGTTAAACTGGGCCAATGAGCTGTGTTACGCTTCCTCTCCTCCCTCCTCCATCACTGCTGGCCTAACTCTGCTTCTCTCAAATCTTCAGAGTATAGCCCCCCAAAAAATCTTAAAAGTCAGAGCCCATTCTTCACATGGATTGCATTTCAGAGGCTGTTTCTTTTTTTTTTTTTTTACTGCACAAGTCTTTAGGCCAGCAGAGTATCAGAGGAGGTGTAATTGAGGGGGCGGTGAGGGGATAGAGTAGCGGTCCGCCTGAAAGCTGCTATTAAAGCCAAATGGACTGAACACCGTAAAACGGCTCTGCCAACAGCTGTCCCACAATCGGAGTATTATATGCCAGGATCACCGCACACACATTATAGAGCGTGCTGCTGATGTAGGGGCTACTTAGGAGAAGAAGAAGAAGAAGACAGCTAAAAGAAAACAAAATAAAAAACGCAATAATATCCTGATCAGGGACTTCTGGAGGATTCCGTGTTGAATCGATAATCTACCTTTCCTCACCCTCTAAACCTTGTTCTAGAGAATCTCAGACTATGCTTTCATATTGGGACATATCCATTCTTTATAAACCAGATGAGAGCAGGTTCCTCATTATTATACATGCTGATATAGGGGCTACTTAGAAGAATAAGACAGCTAACTTTGGAAAAAAAAAACAAAATAAAAACGACAAGAACATCCTGGTAATATTGGTGTCATGATCAGGGACTTCCGGAAAATTCCGTGTTGAATTGGTAGTCTACCTTTACCCTTCTTCAAACCTTATCTCTTCATGATGGACATTGGCACACATCATTTCTTTATAAAAGCAAGTGAAAGCTGGTTCCTCCTTATTATTGGGCTACTTAGAAGAATAAGACAGCTAAGTTTGGAAAAGAAAACAAAATAAAAAACACAAGAATATACTTCTAATATTGGTGTCATGATCAGGGACTTTGGAGAATTCTATGTTGAATTGGTAGTCTACCTTTCCACCTCCTCCAAACCTTATTCTCTTCATGATAGAATAGGGAATCTCAGACTTATGAAAGCAGGTTCCTCCTTATTATACATGCTGATGTATGGGCTACTTTTAGGAATAAGACAGCTAAGTTTGGAGAAGAAAACAAAATAAAAAACACAAAAATATCCTGCAAATATTCCTGTCATGATCTGGGACTTCTGGAGAATTTCGTGTTGGATTGGTAGTCTACCTTTCCACCTCCTCCAAGCCTTACTCCCTTCATGATAGACATTCGCACACATCCTTTCTTTATAAATGCTGGTTCCTCCTTATTATACATACTGATGTAGAGGCTACTTAAAAGAAGAGGACAGCTAACTTTGGAAAAGAAAAGACAATAAAAAAACACAAGAATATACTACTAATATTCGTGTCATGATAAGGAACTTCTGGAGAATTCTGTGTTGAATTGGTAGTCTACCTTTCCACCTCCTCCGAGCCTTATTCTCTTCGTGAAAGACCTGGGAATCTCAGACTTATGAAAGCAGGTTCCTCTTTATTATACATGCTGATGTTGGGGCTACTTAGAGGAATAAGGCAGCTAACTTTGGAGAAGAAAACAAAATAAAAACACAAGAATATCCTGCTAATATTGGTGTCATGTTCAGGGACTAGTCTCTTCATCCTTTCTTTACAAAAGCAGGCTCCTTCATGCTGATTATATCCCATTAAACTCGAAAATAAAGTCATTTTTTTGCACCATTCTGTTGGGATTTTCACAATAAAGCCCTATCCAGCACACCTTTATCCGGACAGGTGCTCGCCCTTCAAAATAAAGCTTCTTTCCCCCCCAAACGTGTTTTCTGTAACACCCCCCTAAAGTGTTATCGTCTCAGTCCTCGCCTCCTTATTAGAATAGAGAGAGAGGAGACTGAAGAGGAGTTGTTTCCACTGGATTAAATGGTTTCTCTGCAAGTCAATGAATATGTAATGATGTCTAACGAAAACCTGGCCACCGAGCTCTGAGTCTGCTATACTGGCCTTATATTAAAGAGCCCTTCCACGGAGGAAAAACACTGTATATATAGAGCCATGCAGAGGGGGGAAAAGGGGGAAGAATGAAGGGATACAATCTTGAATGCACCACTAAGCTTAAGCCACACATTCTCCCTCTGTCAATAGATGAAAAAGTGTTTGCTTATGTACTGAGAAAGAGAGGGAGAGAAAGAAAGAGGAGAGGAAGGGAAAGAGTTTGGTTGGGTTCTTTTGAGGCGAGGGTGGGGGTGAATTTCCATTTTTTAAACTGCTTTAGAAATATTGTTTCTGATAAGCAGTCATGCCAATAAAGTAATTGAATTGAATTCATAAAGAAGGGCCGAGAGTGGGGAGAAAGAGAGTTTCCTCCGCCATGATTGTTAAAGACATTTTTCCCTTAGTCGAGCCGATAAAACATTGATTGTTGCAGTTAGTTGACCCGTAAAATTTGGGGGTTAGTTTTCTCTTCTGAGCTGAGCATATAATTATGCAAATAGTGATCTGACAGTGATCCGCTGGAGGAGTGCTGAAGAAAAGTGTGTGTGTGTGTTCAGTGTGTGTGTGTGTGTTTGAGGAGGGGGCTGTCAGAGGGGTGACATTCCAACTTGGGTCCTTTTTGCGCGGAGTTCATCTTCTGCAGAGCTGCGCGCACATCACAGAAAGGCCGGAGCAGGCAAGCGTGACAACAACTCTCTGAGAGTAAAAAAAAAAATTAAAATATCAGACTGTGGCAGCACAGGGGGATCCCCAACTTATTTCATGTCAAGGACCCCACCCTTCTCCACCCATCCCTCCTCCCCCCAAAAAGCCACCAGTAACAGCAGCAGGACCCCCCATTTGGCAGGATTTGATCGTAAAGCTCCGCAGCTGATGTTATTTTCTGTAGCAGATATGATTCAGTGTGGAGCTGTCTGTAACTATCTGTAGCGCGAGTTGACGACAATAGCTGGCAGGGTGAAAGCTATAATCAAATCAGTCATAGCTATTATACATTCACACGCTGCATGCGCTCACTTCCAGCCAGTCAAAGGAGAGACGAGACGGGGACTGTCTCACGTTTGGTTTGGTTTTTGGGATCCCTGATCCTCGGGGGAAAGTCTAAACTTAAACCCCACAGACACTTGGAGATTATGTTACAGGAGGGAGCATCATGTGACAAAATGAGGCCCGGTTATTGATCTGCAAAGATGGGACATAGTTTCTTGATTTCACAGGGAGTGGAAACAGGATCCAAGGTGCCAAAATTGAGTTCTGCGCGCAAAGTTTCCTCATGCGCAAAGATCGTAGGTGTAAATTAAAGGATTCGACTCTAAATTCACTTTAAGCAACTTTTAATCTTTTAATCCCGTACTATAGATAGTGAACGAGTCCCAAGGCGTTCATGGCTCATCACAAGAGTTCATAATTTATAGAGGCAGCAAATTTTATCAAGAACTAACTCGACAGAAGAGGCTTTTCTGTGATATCTCAGAGTGAAAGAGTCCGGTCTTCTCCTCTGTGTGTGTCTCTCTCTCCGTCCTGACACGGTGTGAGGGGGACTCGCCTGGTTCCACTTGTTGTTCAGGGGTTAATGGAAAAGATTTCTAAAGATTTATTGAGGGGGCGTTTAATGACCTGATCGGTTTCACCGCGTGAAAACAAATGATGCTGTAAAAGCTCGCCGAGTTGGAGGGGAAGGAGGGGAGAGTGGAGGGGGGCTCACTTTGCCGAAATTAATGACCAAAAAGCAGGGGAAGAGTGTTTATAGTTTGTTGTCGCTTTGGCACACTTTTCAGCAGAGATATAATCAGGTTAAAGGTGGAGCTGCGTGTCTCAGCAGGCTGGACGAATGTCTTAATAGTCAACCTTTAAAACTCGAACTTAACAGAGAGAAATAAAGAAGAAGAAGTGGTTTAAGTAGGCGAGAAACACCACAGCAGACACTTCAAATCCTGCAGCACGAGTGTTATTTGCTCTTCCTCTCGGTTGGATTTCAGAGATGACATGAGAGATGATGACTCGGGTCATCTGTCACCCGGTGCTCGACTTTCTCATCCTGCTGCACCCACTTTACCCTCAAGCCCTTTCTCTCTCTCTCTCTGCACATCCACACCTGACTTTCTCACAGCTTACTGCTCCCGATTTATTTCCCACTTCCAAAATGCTCAAGTATCTTACCTGTAATAATAATAATGCGCAATAAATCAAAGAAAATAATAAAATAAAGGATTAAAAAAACACAATCAAACAGCAACACGTGTTTATTTCAAACAGCAGGATGCAAAAGTTCACTTTATTTGCTTTAAACAAGTAGAATAGGTCAATTACAAAAAAATGAAATCAAGTCGAAATAAAGGAGTTGCCTCGAAATGAAATGTTAAAAACAGCCTTCAAATGAAAACAAGAATTGAAATATGTGGCCTAACAGCACACACTCAGCTTCATAAAATCCAAAGGCTTTCACAGGAAGCAAACTAAAAGGTTCCTCAAACCAAAACAGCAAATAAACTCAAAACTGAAACCGTCTTCGTGAGTGTCCTTTTTCTTGCAGACTGTGCTTTGGATGGAGGCTGCTCTTACATCTTTTAGTCCCATTCACATATGGCTTGCTGGATATTATTAAAAAACAGTGAACAGAGTCCTGTTTGTTCCTAAGGCAACAATATACAAATTATGGAGTGGAAAAATGAACTGATTGTAGCTGAAAAGCAGAAAGATGAGCAATGGGTATCTTTGAAACGAAACTCATCAAATCAAATAATAAGCCAACTTCTTTGCTGAAACCTGGAGAGATGTGAATCAAATTAAAAGGAAATTAGGCCTGCAACCATCAGCCACAGTTGTCTCATTACAGCGGAAAGATAATCCACAAAAGCCTTAAAGCGTGTGTGCGGTGTGCAAGAGAGGCAGGATTTCACAGTGTAAAAGTTAAACAATGGAGCTATTTGGGGCAAAACGGAGAAGAGGAAAAGTACATATTTGAGAACGTGTCTTAGGTATCATAAGATTTAGTATCCGGTTTGAGTTTTCACTAATGTCATGACACATTAGAAATGTATTCCATTAAGCCTTGAGTGGTTTATAAAACACACCAGCCTGCATGTGGAAATTTTTTTTATCATGTTTGTGTCACATAGTCAGATTATGTGCAGCTGAGCAGGGAGCTGACTCTGTCACTTCTAAGCACACAAGAGGACTACTTTGGAAGAAAGGGGAAAGAATAGATATGTTACTTTTCTCCAACATCTAAGGAAATATCATTCAGGCTTAGAATAATATTGAAATGGTGGATTTCCTGACATGTGTAAGGCGATATATTGAGGCATTATGAGTGTTGTGAGCTGACTTCTGGCTCCTGTTAAAATGAGATATCCCTCAAACCCAGTTTGATGCTTGACTTTAAGTAATTTTAAACGCGCTCAGTGTCCGGGATTTTCCATATTCAGCACAGGTTGTGTTTGTTTTATTTGTTTCATCACATCCAATCATCAGGAGACATCAATTTCAAGGATATCGAATTGAAAAAAAGACGTATTTTTTATGATAAACGCAGAGAGATGAACTCTGCACAGTTTTGCAAATCAAACCTGGAGATATTGTAAACACTTAAAGCTCTGAGAAGTATTGGCTTAATATTAAAAAAATCAAATAGCGTGAGAGACAGTGTATTCAGATTTAGCTCAAAGCTGGAAAATTAAAAAAAAAAGATACTTCTTGTTAAAAGCAGTGCAGGCTACCATGATCGAGGAATACAAAAACTCAGCTGTAGAGAATGAGGAAGTCATAAAAAGACAGTTTTTTTTTTTAAAACAAATACATGATCATCAGTCAAGAGTGTGGGATTAAAAATATTGAAATTAGAACCATTACCGTTCAGGTTGAAAATGATATCAGACCTGAGCAGAAGATGCCACAAAGGACAAGCTGATTTCAGGGTAAGCAGCTCAGGCTTTAGGACCGAGGGGAAGAAGAAGAAGAGGAGGAAGAAGAGGAGGCAGACTCTGAGCGGTGCAGACTGGAGGGCAGGCAGGGCATTAGCTCAGTTCAGGCTGATGTCAGGACAATTAGAGGTGCACCACAGCGCATTGTGCACAGCGCCTGTCAGCCTTAATCTGTACTGCCATGGCCCGTACCCGCAGCCAGGCCACAGCCCACGGGAAGCACTAACACTCAGGCCCATATTGCTTTGACAGTTGCGCTCATCTAGAAGTAATGCAAAACGTTATTGTGATGTATACATGGTGACCCTGTACTCTTGTGTGTTACAACAACAACAACAAGGCTATTTGTGAGAAGAGCCAGGAAGGAAAGGAAGGGAGAGATGACATCTGCAATGAGAAAGATGGGGAAAGGAAAGATAAGCGGAGGTTACAGTGGAGGAGGGAGATAACATATGAAGAAAAATATCAGAGGGGATCTGAAACCTTCCTTTCTGCATTACCCCTGTGATGCATTCACCCCCACTCCCTCTCTTGTCCAGTCATTTTCGTTTCTACAAATCCTGGTGTTTGTTTTTGAGAGAGCTGCTGCGGGTGGTGACAGTGTTGGAGGTCTCCTCTGCCTCCTCGTCCTTCTTCACCTCCAGGACCTCGTTGAAGAATCTGAAGATGGAGTTGAAACTCATCCAGGAAGTCAGCTCGTGCCTCTCTGTGCCTTTGGAAAAACACACAAACGCACAAAAAGCATGAGCAGGGTGAACAGTCTAACATTAAAAGCAAAACTCTATTTCATAAATATTTTCTGAGCAAACCTAAAAAGTCAAAACAAATTAAAACTCTTCAGGTTAGATGTTAAATCTTATGAGGCTCACAATTCCTTTAATGCACTGCTCCATGCAGGCCTCAGCCTCATGCATGAGAGCCATGGCAGCCTCTGACCTATTAGTCCAGTGGGACAGTCTCACTATGTTATCTAAGTGGATACCTGATAATCAACACCACTGCGTGTCCCCCCTCCATCTCAGGCCATCCAACAGGACCTGAGTTTTGCACAATGGGTGCACTAAGAGAAACCAGTGGAGCGGTAGTCATTCATTCTTAAGAGCTGATTGAGGATAGGCAGGACAGAGAGCTAACTAGCAAGCATATCAAGTGGTCTGGCGAAGGCTGGGGGGAGGCAGCAGTGCTGGGTTTCCCTCTGACCTCCTCTAGGTTAGCCGGTGTCCAAGTTTGGGGTCACCCTGAGGTCTAAAATGTGGTCCATGAGCCTCAGGTTCCTGTTGGAGTATCACCGGGCAGCTTTTTAGTTGGTAAGCTTGCAAACCTGGAGGCATTTTTCTCATGTTTTCCAGTATCAGATCACCTCTGCATCTGAGCATCCATGATGAGGACAGATCAAGGCTGCAGATGGTGCCTGACTTGTTTCTTTTCCAGCTAACCAACCATTCAGTGATAAAAATGTCATAGTATAGTGTGTTAAAAAAATGCCAGCATAGTATGATAAAAATCTCATTGTGTATTATGATAAAAAATGTCATAGTATACTATGTTAAAAATCCCAGCATAGCAGGATTAAAAATGTAATTATATGGTATGTTAAAAAAAATCGTAGTTTAGCTCATTTAAAAAGTTAGAATAACATGATAAAAATTTCAAAATATAGATTTAAAAAAAATGTCATACAATAGTATGATAAAAATATCATAGTATGTTAAAAATGTTACAGTGAAGTATGATAAAAAATGGCGTAGTATAGTATGATAAAAATGTTATAGTATAGTTCAATAGAAAATGTGATAGTATAATTTGTTAAAAAATGTCATTGTATAGTTTGTTAAATAAATTTAATCGTTAAGTATGTTTAATATATCAAAGTTTAGTATGATAACAAATGTCACAGTAAAATATGTTAAAAATGTCCAAGTATAGTATGATTAAAATGTCATAGTATAGTACGATAAAAAATGTCATGTTTGAAAATAGGCATAGTATAGTATGTTGAAATAACGTCATAGTTTAGCATGATAAATATGTCAAAGTATAGTTTGAGAAAAATGTCAGCACAGTATGATAAAAATCTCATACAATACAATGTAAAAAAAATGTCATAGTATGGTATGATAAAAATGTCATTGTAGAGTATGTTAAAAAATGTCATAGTATAGTATGAGAAACAGGTCAAAGTACAGTATGATAAAAATGTCGTAGAATAGTATGATAAAAAAAGTCATTGTGTAGTATGTTAAAAAAGTCATAGTATTGTATGATAAAAAAGGA